TAACGCCGTTGAAGAGTGAGGTTACCTTGCGGAGTTATCCTTTGATTATAAGCTTTAAAAAGTTATGTGGCAAATTTGGAAATTTTCGTAAAACATTGGTTTCACCTTTTGGTTTTCAAGTCACATATTATTGATTATCTACTATTCAAAGGTTCTCGTAGTTCTAGAATTACAAAGAACTATCAAACAAAAGATATACAGAAGTTTAAATAAATATGAAAAAACCAAAAGATATATAGATTAAAGAAGTTTAAATAAATATAAAAAACCATCAAAAGTTATGTAAAATGTTTCATTTAGATGTGTTTTTATTCACTTGTTTAACCATGTTTTTATAAAAATTAGCCAGTTCGTTCGGATATAAAAATAGACATAAAATTGTGCTAATTGAATCGTTCCTTCCCAATTCCCCATTTAAAATGGTTTTCAAAACTTTGTTAAAGGGTCGGTAGAACTTTTTTTAGATTTGTATTTTTTTTAACGGTTGGTTAATGATTAGAAGTTAGTATCACTGAGTTAGTAAAAATTCATCAATGACCAGAATAGAACCCGAAACCTTCAATTTAAGAAGCAAAATCTATCAGGTGGGCTAGTCTGACATTGACTTTCGAATGTGTATTTGAATTTTGAAATGTGATAAAAAATTTTTTTTGGATAAAGTGATAAATTAATCAATAAAAAAAGTTTTCGAATTGTTTTGGATTTTATTGCAGATATAATAAAATATAATTTTATAACTATAGAATTATAAAATAAGAAATTAGTTTATGTTTATAAACACTTTCAAATAAATTCTAAGAAAAATACTTATTAAAAATTGTTTATCTAGGTTAATAAGTACATTTTTATTCAAACACTCAAAATTAACATTATCAACTTTGTTAACGAATCATAATCAACCGAATTTCAATATCGAAATTCGAAACACGCCCAAAAAATTTCCTTTTATAAATTAGTTTCAGCTGTGGTGTATATAAAAATTTAAATAAGTATATATTTCAACATAACAAATACGTAAAATAAACATGGAAAGAATCATGCGTTACTTAGTCTTCACCACAAAAGGATCTTCTAGACAAACTCTTTTATTTGGAACTAATCCTTTCTTACCTAATTACCATGAGGACATGTATCTTAAGACATTATTGACGTTTATATTAATATTTTCCATTCATTTGCATTTCATCACAATATGATTTAATATATCATGATGTGAACACTTCATAATTGTTAGTCTTACATTCCAACATTAATATTATGTTAAATAAACATAAATAAGAAAGTAGTGCTTGTATGGATTCCAAAATCAACAACCGCATTTCATCACAAACTATCATCATCTATTACATATGTAAAAATACACATTCACACGTTCTTTGTGACAGCTCCAAGTACCTCACCTATATAGTTATAACTACACGTTCATATTTCATTTATTTCCATGTGAACTATCTTCATCATTGGATGGTATCTTCCTATATATTTTCCAAATCCCACAAGTGACTCGTCTGTGTTACTCAGAGTCATTCCAAACATATTTTGGGCTCAGGACGAGAGAAAAAAATTAGACTTTAAAATACATAAATATCGTCAATTTTTTTTTATAATAACTCAATAATTGAAAGAAAATTATTTGTGCTATCTTCAATATATAACCATTTCCATAAAATTTAGGCCATTTTGAAAGATGGGTCATGGACGATCACTCCTATCGCCCACTCTATGAGACGAACCTGATGTTACTACATAATCACTTTTGGAATCCATGCAAACACTAACCCTCACAAGTAGGTGATTTAGAATAAGAGATTTAATAGATCAACCTTAGGGTTTCATTACTCAGGATAAGAAAATAAAATTCTTAAACCTGTTAAGTCACAATATAACTTAAAGGAAAGTCTAAAACATTGACATCAATATTTAACCAAGTCATGATATAATGTTGTTCCAAAATCAACAAATGCGATAAGTGTGTCTAGATCAAAGATACATCTAGTAAGTAGTGAGTATGTTATCATGTATCTATACATAGACGACAAGCATATCATTAGAAGCAATGAAAAGACAACAAGGTCGACTAAGCACATGTTGAAATGAGGTTTGAAATTATAGATATAAATCTAGTTGATGTGATTCTTAGTATCAAGATCAAACATACCCAAAAAAAAAAACCCACTATATGAACAAAAGTCTTGAGAAACAATACATCTGATTCCAATATAGCTAGAACTCATATCGTCACACAACTTCTAACAAAAAATGCATGTCAACATTTATTTTTTTCCTTTCCCAATTCAACTTCTATCAAAGAATGATTCTTTGATGTTAACATTTATTCTTTACATTTCCCAATTTCAGGAAAAAAATAATCCATCTCAATGATTTGATTTTATTCAAAATACACTAAAATATCTTGTTTTATTATAGGAAAAATGACACAACGCTCATATTATGTATTTTGACTTTACCCTTTCAGTCTCTAAAGTTTTTTCGTGGCCTTTAAGAGAACAAAGTTGATGTCGATTTGTTTTTTTATCACTACGACCTAATATATAAGGTTAGATCTGATGTGGCTTATGATTTGGAATTTTTTTTAATAAAAAAATAATAAAATTTGAGGTCCACCATCTCTCTCTCTCTCTCTCTCTCTAAATGTTTTTCTTTCTCGTTTCTTCTTTCTGTTTAATTATTCTATCAAGGTTTTCCTTCCTCAAAACATTCCCATCTTGGAACTTCGAAGTGTGTTCTTAGTCATTTCAATGTCTTTTTAAACACATGTTAAGAACAATCATGATTTCTCTCAGTCTTTGTCCTCTTAATCTAATGAAAAATAGTGTCATCAGTTCAAAAACAACACAGAAGCTTTAGAAAATAATAAGATGAAAGATGATGTTTGCTTATATGATTTGCCATAATTATGCTTAGAATGCATTCTTAAGAAGGTTTCTCCTACCGGATTAACAAGTATGTCAGGGGTATCCAAGTCTTTTCGGGCTATGTGCACACAAGATCATCTCTGGGAGAGACACTTGAGCCAAAAATGGGGTAAGATTTTGATGGGTGATTTTGTATATAAATAATGGCAAGCCTACATTGACACCAAAAAGAAGCAAACCCTCTTGTCTTCCTCGAATGGAAAAGGGTATTTTCAGGTTTTCACTCCTGGTTTATGGTGGAAGAAAAATGTGAAATTGAACAACACCAGTATTTGTTTTCCTGTTGATTCTATCATGGCTTGGTATCTCTCACTTGAAACCGGGCACTTTTCTTTTCTTTCTCTGCTCAAGTCTATAACAATAACAAAGAGGTAATTAATTCAACCCAAAATTAAGCAGTTTGACTTTTTCATGTCAAACATACTACATCTAAAACGAAAAATCGACTTGGATTTCGTTCCAAATTTCAACAACATTCTTATCATAGTACAACCACTTACTACAAACATTCATTTACCGTTTTACATTTTTCGAAAAGCTTAAAACTTTACATCAATTTCAAACTTAAAAAACTACGTAGTTGACCATATCAACTCCAAAGTGTTCTATGATCCAGTTCTTTATCGAAGGTTTCTGATTACATAATGGAAATGTTGGGTTTTTATTATCTTTTTATTATTATTCTGTTTTTTACTAAAAAATTTCCAAATTACAAGCCACGTCAGCTTTAACATGATATATTAGGTCGTAGTGATAAAAAACAGATCGATATCAACTTTGTTCCTTAAAGGGCACGAAAAATACTTTAGGGACTGAAAGGGTAAAGTTGAAACACATAATAGGAACGTTCGTCATTTTCCCTTTATTAAAATGCAATTAAAGCAAACGATAGGTTTGGAAAACAAATAGATTAACTAAATTGAAATCAAACAAACTTATGACAATGGCCATTCGAGTTATTATCAAATATATTATTTGGAGTCTCAAGCCGTCTTTTATTGGCCAGGTCTTTTTTTCGAACAGATCTTCGGGTTTTTTTTTTTGTCAACTCTCGCGGTCTTTAGATACGCCTTTTCAGTTCGGTTTCGATTTCACGTTTTTCCATTAAAAAATATATGATTAACACCAAAATTATATATTAAGATTTACAATAAAATAATAAATTATAATTTAATAAAATAAAGAAAGGAAAAAGTTAGGTAATTTATTATTAATAAATAATAAATTATAATTTATTATTTTCTTGTAAACCTTAATATATCATTTTTGGTGTTAATTATACATTTGTTTAGGTGAAAAATATCTAGCAGAAAGTTAGGGGTTGCACCAAACCAATTTTATAAAACAAAATCAAACGCAATATTTGCTACTTAAATCGATCAAGTGAACAGTTTAGTCAATCTACATGTCCATATAATAGATATAGACATTCACCATCTAAACCCTAACCGAGATGATCAATTACAATTAAAGCCATTACAAAGACAAATCATACAAACAAAAATTATACACGACGAAAATGTTGGACATCTACTCCAACAATCCTCCAAAAATTCAAGGTGTTACAATATGGTATTATATCTATAAGTTTAGGTGAAAAATATCTAGCGAAAAATGCATGAAGTATATTATAAAAACCTTTAGCACAAAAGTTAGATACATATTATGCATAAGCAGATTTTGTTGACATACATCATCTTTTATTATAATAGTTATCTACAACATTAAACCAAGGGTGAAGTTAATTCAAATATCAAAGTGGCTCAAAAGAAACTTTAAATCAAAACTACAATCATATCATACCTTTAATTAAAATTGAGACGCCATGAACTAACAAAGAACTTGAAAGATCAAGATCCATCATATATAACAAAAGTAATTGATCTCAAACTCCTCTCTTCTACAACCATCAAGATTCAAACTTTATGAAGCTCTCAATATTATTCTTCAGAAAATACATTAAATTAGTACAAGATTACAAAAAATTACCAACTTTTGGAACATTCCGGATAGATCCCAGAAAAAGACTATTCAAGACCTAAGAAAATCTCTATCAAACTTTAACTAAACAATCAAAAAACTGTTAGTTTCCATCATGTTCTTCAGTTGAGAACTTGGTGTATAGCCTATTTTAAACATATGACCAAAAACACTCAAACCAACATCTAACTTATCCCTTTCACATAAAATCGCAATCATCTTTTCAAAAGTTCCTTGATGGGGTATAAGCCTATTTTTCACCATGTATTCCAACCAATATACCCCTGTTTCAATAAACCCTTTTTTGCTCAATCCAATAATAACATGTTCATCAATACACACAGAAACTGGCTCCACACCCTTATCCTGCATCTCATTCCACAGGATTTTGACTTCATCTATCTGTCCCAATTCATAAAGCTTTCCAATAATTGGTCCATAAGAAGCACAAGAAGGCTGCAATCCTTGGTCAACAAGTTCTCTCAAGAGGGTCAAACCCTCGGTTAACTTACCTTCTTTACTAAAACCCTTAATCAAAGAATTATAAGTTATCACATCTTTACATACATTTTGGTTCTCCATCTGTTTAAATAGTTGAAAAGCTTCCATTGTCATACCATGTGAACACAAGCCATTGATCATAGTGTTGTAAGCAATTAGGGTTTCTTTGTACTCTTTTTTCATTTCTTTGTAGAGATTTTGGGCCTTTTCTATTTGTCCAATTCTGAAATACCCGTATAAGAGTGTGTTGTATGTGTATTGATTCGGTTCGATTCCTTTTTGAATCATTTCAAACCATAGTTTTCTTGCGTCTGTGATCCATTTCATTTTACAAAGTCCATGGATCATTGTTGTGTACATGATTTTGTCAGGGGCGTAGCCTCTGTTCTTGAGGTTGTTGAATATAAATAAACCTTCACGTTGCATTCTTCTGAGGCATAATCCATGGATGATTTGTTGATAAGTATAAAGATCAGGTTTTATGCCTTTTGCAATCATGATGTGAAGAAGAGCGGGTACTCTGTCATACTTTTGATCCAGTATAAATTCAAATAACAATTTGTCGAAAGCAGATTTGTGAGGAACATACCCTTTGTTTAAAATTAGTCGAAGAAGTTGATACCCTTCTGTGACATTTTTGTCCAGACAAAAGGCTTGGATCAAACAGTTGACAGTATCAAGATCTGCAACAATGCCGGATTGCATCATTTCACCATATAATTCCCATACAAGATTGGTATATCCTTCTTGAATGGAAGCTAGTAAAAGACAGTTCCATGTTTCTAATGAAGGGCAAACTCCAGCTTTCTTCATTTCATCGAACACTTGGAGTGCATCCTCAATCATTTTACTTTCACACAAACACCTTATATATGATTCAAGATCAGCCGACTCCGGGACAAATTGAGTAAAATCGAGAAAACTCTTGGCAGCTTTCGCAGCTTTATCTTCTACAAGTGAATTAAAGATCAAACTACAAGTTGATTGTGGTGGTGAATACCCAAAAGTAGAACTGAGCCAATGCAAAAGCCTAATTGACAAAAAAACATTCTTTTGTTGAAGTAACATTTGATTCAAAAAGCTAGAATCCGAGAAATTAACACCAGGGAAATCCGATAAAAGTGTATTTTCCCATCTAGGTTTTGACCTTATAGTTCCACAGATCTGTTTCACAATTTCACTCGAATGTTGGGGCTTATCCTGGCTGTCATTGCAATAGCTAGTATTCCCGATGTCCCTAAATTGCTGTTTAGGGTTTTGGGTAATTTTGGAGGATGATCGACGGAGTAATGTAGTGAAGTAGGATGGCGTTCTGGCCATCAATGAAAATGAAATTACAACTTACTTGGCAAATACAGGTTGACATATACGAAGCAAGGAATAAGAAAAGAAGCCCTAGATCATGATAATCAATCGATGGCGAAAAACCCGAATCACTTTTAAGAGGTGAATCCGACCCGAATAATTGACTAAAAGCAAACCGTTCACTAAAATGATATTTTTGCTGAGGTTTCGACAAATATAACTATTTTTCTATTTTTTTTTGGGTTGTTACGATAAACCCTATCTGTGTTAATGCTTAATAAAATCTTTTTATTATTTTTTTATTTTTGGTACATTTTAAGCATTATATTTTATTATTGTATACATTTGCTTAATTTAATGTCGTATAACTGGTTACTCTAAAACAATCGATTAATTACATGGTTTTGGAGAATTGGTTGTCATTGTTGTTTCTTGCACGTTTATATAATATTAATCAATTCATCAATTCTTTTACACTCTGTTTATGATGGATGATGTTGATGCTCTTTATTTTTCTTGGTATTTTTTTGGGTGTTGGACGATTTTACTCTTGTTATCCCAGTGTGATGTTTGAAGTATTAGCATATCTGGCTCTAGACTTCATGGTATTTGCTCCTTCGCTTTGATAGTTTTTGCTGTTGCTTTCCTTTTTCGGTTGATTTTTCATATTTTGGAGCTGACGATTTTACCCTTGGTATCATTCAACTCTTTTTGGTGGTTGATGATGTTGCAGTTTAGCCTTGGGTGTTTCTCCCTTTTTATTTGTTGTTGTTTCTTCTTGTGTGTTTTGGAGTTCATTGTGTTTGTCTTGTTAGGAGTTGTTTCTAGTGAAGTTTTAGGTATAGTTTTATTTCTTTGTTCATGGTTACACTCTAGTTTATTTATTTGTTCATGGCTACAGTAAATAGTGAAATAATTTTAAAAGTGCTAAAATGGTATAAAAAAATGGGCATTTTTTATAACAAATGGTTAGGGCTTATATGCAATGTACTTTGGTGAAAACGATTAAAAATGGTCAAGTTAATCATCGTTTACAAGAAATTATTGAAAATGGTCTTGCATTTATAACAATGCACTTTGGTGAAAATCGTAAAAATAGGCGTTTATAGCATCGTAATTTGGTGAAAACGATTCAAAGTAGTCAAGTTGGCTATTTTTCACAAGAAATTTTCGTAAAAGGTTATGGCATATTGGCATTTATAACAATGTGGTTTGATGAAAATGGTAACAAAAAGACGCTTATAGCAACGTACTTGAGTGGAAATGAATAAAAATGGTCAAGTTGGCCATTTTTTTACAGGAGATTATCGAAATGGTTATGAAATTTATCATAATGGAAAAAATGACACGTCTGGTCAAATTTATTAAGTAAATAAAAATACAAAAGTTCAAACACCAATAATTACAGTAAACTTTTTAAAACCAATAACACCATGATGGTTATCCATCCGATCCAAACACACACCCTTCTCAATTTTCTCTTGATGAACCAAGTTTGGTTAATGACCAAATCCAAGTTCATAATCCTTCGATTCATCCCGTTACACAATGAATCCAGACATCAATACTAGAACCTAACAAATGAAGCCTAATATTAATCAGGTCATCAATTCTTTTATAAGATAAAACATGGCGTCAAGCCTAATGTTAATCTCTTAATGAACCAAGTTTGGTAAATGACAAAAACCAAGTCCATAATCCTTCAATTCATCCTGTTACACAATGAATTTAGACATCAATACTAGAACCTAACAAATAAAGCCTAATATTAATCATGCCGATAATTCTTTTACAAGATAAAAGATGCTGTCAAGCCTAATATTAATCTCTTAATGAACCAAGTTTGGTCAATGACCAAACCCAAGTCCATAATCCTTTAAATCATCACGTTATACAATGAATCTAGACATCAATACTAGAACCTAACAAATGAAGCCTAATATTAATCATGTCGTCAAGCCTAATATTAATCTCTTAATGAACCAAGTTTGGTCAATGACCAAAACCAAGTCCATAATCCTTCAATTCATCCTGTTACATAATGAATCTAGACATCAATACTAGAACCTAACAGATGAAGCCTAATATTAATCATGCCATCAATTCTTTTATAAGATAAAACATGCCATCAAGCCTAATATTAATCTCTTAATAAACCAAGTTTTGTCAATGACCAAAACCAAGTCCATAATCCTTCAATTCATCCCGTTACACAATGAATCCAGACATCAATACTAGAACCTAACAAATGAAGCCTAATATTAATCATGTCGTCAATTCTTTTATAAGATAAAAACATAGACAATTGATCCCAACACATGATACTCAAATACCATCTAGCCCATCAATTCGTTGGTTGTACTTGATGATGCATTTATACCACAACTGTAACACCGTAAATTCCAAAGCAAAATTTTCATTTAAATAATCAATTTAATATTAAAACACTTGTTTAAAATCTTATTCATATTTGAATTACAAAACATAGTTCCATTTTCACTTGAATAGAAAACCAGGATCCTCCAAATACAACTCTTTCTTTGGTGTGTACAATCGAGCCGGTGCCATCCCGCGTGACTGAAAGAACCTGAAACAACATAACATAAAACACCGTAAGCACGAAGCTTAGTGAGTTCCCCAATATACACCTTACACACATATGCCTTTCCAGGCCCTGACCTTCCGGTCCACTGCACAATGCCTTCCGGCCCATGAGATAATCGCCTTCCGGCCCATAACGCATTGCATTTCGGCCCATAACATATTGCCTTCCGGCCCGTAACATATTGCCTTCCGGCCCATAACACTTACAACACATAACCCATTTAATCTAACGCACATAGCACATACATCATATATCATACCTGACCTTTCTATCACATAACATATCGCCTTCCGGCCCGTATAAACATACATATCATGCATAGCAACTACCTTTCTATTTATAGCATATATAACATACATCGTATTCGACCTTCAGGTCACACAGTCAAACCCTTCCGGGTATAGTATAGTGAGAAGACTCACTTCGTGGATACTGAAAGCTAGCAACTCCTGAAATCCCTCGTACTCGATCCGCCGAGCTACAGACTCCCTGTAATATCGTACGTCCCTTATTAACACTTTTATCTTTCAAGACAACTGACCCTAAGAAATCACACCTAGGCCAACTCTGGTCAACAGTCCACGATCAACTCGACCGGACTCGGCGAGTACCCTGGCGACTCGGCGAGTCTAGTCATCCTCCAGTCCTCTAAAGTTTCCCTTCTACTCGTCGAGTATCCTCCTTGACCCGACGAGTTACTCCTGGAAGAATCGCGGGGCCACCCCGACTCCACTCGTCGAGTCTGAGGAACAACTCGGCGAGTCCCAGTTATTCTTCAAGCTACTCGCCGAGTCTGCTCATCTGACTCGGCGAGTCCATGCCATGCAGTCGCTCAAACTGCTTCCTAAGGTCATAACTGCTCCGACCATTCATAGATCTGGCCTTCCTCGACTGGTCCTTTACATAAGGTCTTCATTTAGGTGCTCATGCTACACCCCAAGACTTATGGTTTACATGTTGACCTAAGGCATAAGGATTTCAATCCAAAACCTTCACCAATTCCCGAAATGCCCAGACATGGAATAATCTGGACCTCCAAAGGTCCCAACACAGGGTTACAATCGCTTGGGGAACCTGGGTAACACTCAACCTATCCACAAAAGGGTTCCATAAACCCTAATCCTCTAAATATATCAACATAGCAGAGTATACCCGAACTCATACCTGGATAATGTATTCTCTGTGTCCCCAATCTTCAGAAAGTGACTCCCTTGCTGTTCCTTTAGCCAAAACCTTCCCTTCCTTGCACAACAACTCCTTCACAATCACCCATGGCCTCTAACCTTGCTCCAGATGCACACAATCGGTTTAGGGCTCCTCTCAGACGGCTAAAAGGGAACAATGACGGCCAACGATCCCCTTTATATGTCCCAAGCCTGAACGGTTAGGGTTTTCGCTAAACAGCGCAGACTCGCCGAGTCCCTATCTGGACTCGTCGAGTCCAGTCGCGAACCCGCGACCCGATCTGCGATCCTACTCGGCGAGTCTGGCTCCAACTCGCCGAGTCCCCCCTTTAAAACACCCCAAAATGTAATTTTAACAATACTTGAGATTTCGGGCTGTTACAACAACACATGAACTCTAAAGCCATCCAACTACCTAGCACCAAAGGGTAATTCTAACATAACAGGTGATTGGAAATTGATATATCACAAATAACTAGGCAGTTCCACCATCACAAATATCCATTAATATATCACTTAAATCAAGTCTCTACCCATCTACAACTAAAGATCAGGACAATTACTAGTTTCCTCTATACCTATCAATATTCATAGTGGACATCTCTTGCCTAGGTTTAGGAATACACCACATATCACAAACCTTAATCATGCAGGAAGAAAAAAAGTAAGTTAATCCCATCAGTTTAAATCTAATTTCAGTAACAATACATTGGATAACTTCATCCATGTTTCTGAATTTCTTTTTGAACAATCTTCTATTTCTTTACCACAAATGATATACAGTGCCAATTGCGTTTCTAATAACATTTAACATCGATTTTGCTTTAACTTGGTTTTAGAACACCAAAATTAAAGAATGCATTCGATTTCTTGATGCAAAGTGACCGTTTTCCCTTGTTTTTACTGCCCAATTTGATGAAACATTTTACCGTTCGAAACCCTATTTTTTACTATTCTAATTATCGACTTCATGTTCTTCAAGATTAGGAAGAGATGTAAGCCACATTGGATATTGTTAAATGGTTACCAAAGGATAACGTGATAAAAGAATTAAGTTAGACGGTTTCGTAAATAAAAGTGGTTAACATGTACTAAAAATTATGTAATGGTTTTTTAAGCATTGATAGATAATTGGTAGGGTTTTAATGTGGTTTTCCCTAAATTTTATGCTATTTTTCACACTATAATTCTAAGTGTACCAAAAATAGTATTTTTTTTTACTAAAG